GTATAAATGCTAACTATTATTATTATTTTGTTGTTGATAAGGTGAGCCTTGTTGAAAAGATTAGCCTTTATTTCAGAGGGAAGTTTGGGGTCTGCATCATTTCTCAAAGGCAGCTGGACCAGCATTCCACTCCAGGCCAAGCTAATTGTTCATTTGCACCATCCCTTCAAAATAGATATGACTGCAAAGTGAGCTCTAGCAGAGAAATGTACAATAAAAAAAAAAGTGGGCTGACCAATAGCCTGAGGAAGCAGAGGTGACAGGCAGTTTATGATCCCTTTTGGACCCTCTGCCGTATCAGCCTGTCTAGCTTGCTTGCTCTGGTTGTTAGCCAACTTTCCATTTCCCAACCCCTTGCTGTTGTGTGCTGCATTGTTAACCACGTGTGATTGAGAGCACGGGATGATGGTCCTCAGCATCTTGGTGAGGGATTTACAGAAGGAGATGGACAAGAGGTGTCAGCATGGGCAGGTCAGAAGGTTTGGAATCATCATTGCCTCAATGGCCAGAATAAGCACCTTGACGACCTCACAGATCCGTGGGAGGATTGGAGCATTCGTGGTTGGTCTGGCCATGTAATAGAAAGGTCTGAAAAGAGAGTAGTTATTTCAAGTGAGAGACAGCTGGGACTCAGGGAACTGAAAATAAGAAAGGGGACATTTAGGATTTGCCCCACCACGCGCACACACACACACACACACACACACACACACGCCCCCACCCACCCCTCTTTCCAAAATGGAGAATTGTTCATTCATTGACTAATTTTCCTAGGGAAGAGGTGGAGGCTCAACCTTCCAGAACATGATGAACCAGAACAGTGCCCCACCCCTTGAAGCTGCCTGCTGTCATAGCACAAAACAACAATTCACAGATCCTTGCCATATCTAACACATTTCAGCCTCAGGAGGAGTTGGTTTCCTTTTTTTTTTATTTAAAGGACTCATCATTCTAATTTTTAAACATTCAAAAGAACATAAGACATGGTTCTTCCTCATCTCTATCTTATGGAAGTCCTAGGTCCCTTCAAGAGGTCTTTCTTAATTGTCTGCTTGTTAGAATTCTCCCCCCACCGATCACTTTCTATCTCTTTTGTATATGTCTTGTGGTAACTTATATTAAATGTGTAGACTATAAGCCCTTTGAGGTCAAGGACTGCTTCACCTTTGGAATCATTATAATGGTTAGCATTTCTACAGCACCTACTGTGTGTCAGACTCTGTGATAAACACTTTACAAATATGATTTCATTTTATCCTCACATCTCTGGGAGGTAAGTGTTATTGTGGTCCCCATTTTACAGATGAAGAAACTGAGTCAGACCAAGGTTAAGTGACTTGCCAGGGATCACCCAGCTTTTAAGGGTATGAGGAGGGATTTGAACCCAAGTTTTCCTAACTATAGGCACTATTCATAGAATATGAATTGGTTTTTTGTCCCCAGCATATAGCAGTCAGACAAGCATCGATTAAGCTAGGTGTCTAAGATGCTAAGGGCTAGGAAGACAAAGAGAAGGAGGAGGCACACAGTACTTGTCTTCAGGGAGTGTACAATTTAATGAGGGCAAGTTAAGTAAACAGTATGTTAGATAATTAAAGCTTGTGGATTTATATATATGATATTAGAGGCTTCTTTAAAAGCAACCTCAAAAGTCATCCAATCCACTGGAAAGGCAATATGGTGTAGTAGATAGGGTTCAGGACTTGGAGGCAAGAAGATCTGGGTTCAAATCCCATCTCAAATATATATTAGCTGTGTGACTCTAGACAAGTCAATTATCTTCTCTAGGCTTCTGTTTCCTCATCTGTAAAACGAGGTGATTGGACTCAGAGACCTCTCGGGTCTCTTTTTAAATCTATGATCCTATCAACACCATCACTTTACAGATGAGGAAACTGAGGCTTTGGAAGGTTAAGTACACTAAGTGGCAGAGTGGGGCTCAAACCCAAGTTTTTTCACTCCACACCCAGCACCTTTCCCCCAGTATCATGGATGCCTCCTTCTACTGACTATTTGAAAGTAAGATGTGCCTGGAAATGAGCTTGCCAAAGAGTCTTCTCCCAATCTAGATCCTAGTCACAATGTAAATTGTGCAGTAGGCACCCAGTCATCTCCCTGACCTCTAGTGGGGTGCTTTGGGACTATTGCAATGGACAGAATTGGAAGCACTTTCGGCTTTGCTTTGGCTAGGGGAGGGAAGAGGAGAGGTGGAGCGGGCTTTCTCAACCTCCCTCCCCTGGCCTTGAAAGGTTCATGCTCTGCTTGTAGTCACATCTCAGCCTCCAGGCTCCAGCACAATGGGCCAGTGTTTTAGGCAGTGAAGGAAGGAGAGGAATGTGTGTGAGTGGGGGGAGAAAAGGAAGGGGGAGAAGGGGGAGAGGAGAGACTTTGTTGACTTTACTTAAAAATACTTTTTTGGAAAATATTTCAGATACTGTTGGGTTTTGTAGAGCTTTCTTCCTATCCCCTCCTCTCCCTTCCCCCTGCCCCTCCTCCCCCAGCTTTAAATATAAATGAAGAATTTTAGAATTGATTGGAGGAAGCTAGAGAAAGAGCCCCACTGTTACTGTCTGTGCCGGAACCAACTGCCTGAGTGTGCAAGGGTAAATAGACCCTGGGGGAATTCCAGAGGGAATCCTCTGGAGCTTATTTCAAGCCAAGTATAACTGGCATGAACAAGCCAGGATGCACCGAGGCCCCAGGCAGCTTCCTTATGGCTAGCTACTGTACCTAGGTAGTAGGAGGCATTTGGGCTCTATCCTAATATTTATGGGTATGTGAGTGTTTTAACTTCTGGGAGGGTAGATGGACTGAAGTCTCCTCTTCTCCTTTCATGGTGCTGAGGGGGAGGGAGCTGAACCCTAGATTTAGAGGCATTTTATAGATGAGGAAACTGATGCTGAAGGAAGTTAAGTGATTTGCCTGTGGCTACAAAGCTAGGAAGTGTCAGTCAGGTCTTCCTGAGTCACCTGTGTGACCTTGGGTAAGTCATTTAACCACCCTCAGATTCAGGTTCCTCAAATAAAAATGAATGGGTTAAACTAGATGGACTTTAAAGGTTCTTTCCAGCCCGAAATCTATGATTCTATGATCCTTGCTGATTTGGATGGGGATGAAAGGGGTTCTTGGTGAAGGAAAAAGACTGTAACAGCTATGTTAATATAAAAATATGGGGAGAGAGGGATGGAGGAGAGAGAGAAAGAGGAAAGAGAGAAAATAAGGGAGAGAAAGAGAAGAGAAGAGAAGAGAAGAGAAGAGAAGAGAAGAGAAGAGAAGAGAAGAGAAGAGAAGAGAAGAGAAGAGAAGAGAAGAGAAGAGAAGAGAAGAGAAGAGAAGAGAAGAGAAGAGAAGAGGAATATCATAGAGTGACCCACTATCCTTGCCCACCACCAATACCAGCCACTGCGAGGGAGGGCCGTGCAAAGTCACCAGCCTCACTTTCTTCTCCAGAGCCATCTGGGTCCATTGGTCAGATGTCTATCAGGACAACTGGAGATAGTGGAAATAATATTGAAGGAGATTCATTTCTGTCTACTTTGCTGATGCACCCTAATGATCATGGTCCTTTCCATTAGATGTGCAACTGAAACATCTTGTATATATTCTTTCCCCCCAGTAGAACGTAAACACCTTGAGAGCAGGTACTCTCTCTCTTTTTTTCTATTTGTATTCTGCCTTCCTCTCTTAGTGTACTTTGTGCATAGTGAAGCTTAGTAAATATCCTCTCTTTCTCTGTCATTCTTTCTCCCTTTTCTCCTTCTTCATCCCTCCCTCCCTTCCTCTTTCTTTCCTTTTTTCTTCATCTCCTTCATCTTTTCCTTTCTTTTCTCCCTTTCTTTCTTCCTTTTCTCTCTTCTTTCTCTCTATTCCATTCTCTTTCTCTCCCTTCCCTCCTTTCCTTCCTTCTTTCTGCCTTTCCTTCCTCCTTTTCTCTTTCTTCCTTTCCTTTTCCTTTTTTCTTTTCCTCCCTCCCTCCCTTCCTTCCTTCTTCCCTCCCTCCTTCTTCCTCTTCCTTCCTTCCTCCTTCCTCTTCCTTCCTTCCTTCCTTCCTTCCTTCCTCCTCCTTCCTTCCTTCCTTCCTTCTGCATAGTACATGGGAAAGAGGAAGATCACTGGATTTGGAGTCAGCAACCTCAGGTCAAATCTTGGCTCTGCCACTTACTACTTGTTTAACCATAGGCAAGCTGCTTAACTGATCTGGGCCTCAGTTTCCCCATCTGTAAAATGAACAGGTTAAACTAGGTAGCCTCTAAAGTCCATTCCAACCTGATGTAATCCTAGGAACTAGAAAACTCCTAAAGAACTGGAAGAGGCCCTACAGGTCATTACCTCCAACTCCCCCTTTTTCCCAAGGTCACCCAGGTACTGAGTAGCACAAAGGTCTGGATAGAGTCCATCTCCATCTCAGATTTCTTTCAGTGATGCATGCACTGTAATGTCTGAGTCAGAAACCCTGGAAAGGTTTTCTGTCTTTCTAGCAATTGTGTGTGTGTGTGTGTGTGTGTGTGTGTGTTTGGTTTCCTGCTAGGAGGAGCCCTGGTACTTGTCCTCACCCCTAAAATTTCCTTATTTGGTATTTCCTTCCACTCATGCACACACCTCATCACTCCAAATTCACATTCAGCCTCATAATTGGATTTTTTTGTGCATTTCCTTCCACATACATACAATTATAAGATTCCCAGAGACCCTGCAGTCCATACTATAGCTATGCAGGGATCCTTTCTACACCCTCCCCAACAAGTAAACATGAGTCCCACCACACCTTTTGCATTTCACACAAACTGAACTAATCATACTAGCTAGCATTTATATATTGCTCTCAGGTTTATAGAGAAATATATACATATATTCATTTGATCTGTACAACAGTCCTGTGAAACACGTGCTACTATATCCCAATTTGTGGATGAAGAAACAGACTGAGTATGTTGAATGACTTGCCCATGTTCACACAGCTAGTCAGGATTCAAACTCATCTTTTTTTTTTTCTTTCACAGACGGAGTCCCCCTATCGTGGTTTAAATCCCACTACTGATTCCTGATTGGCAGGGATGCTTTCACCTGCTCTGTTTCCGACCTGGGCCAGTTCAGCCTGGTCCTCCGTCGTCACCCAGCCCCCATCATATTAAATACCCAGCTAAGTGCAGACACTTGATCAGCATAACCCAATGCGGTGCTGAAACTCCTGAGCTGAAGAGATCCTCCAGCTGTCAACACGCCAGGTAGCTGGCGTGTTAGGGATGTCCCACCGTGCCTACCTCAGATCTTCCTAACTCCAAAGCCATCACGCCAACCAGCTGCCTCAGACTTCCTGTACCAGACAAGCCATCGTCCACTGATCAGCAAGTCATTTCCTCTAGGGGCAGCTTTTCATTTTCAGAAAGGTATGCCTTAGACCCTAAATTCATTTCTCTGTCGTTACTCCCCATTATTCCTCCTTCCCACTGGAGTCAAGCAGAGCCTGTCCGATGCCTCTTCCCTAAGATGGTCTTTCAGACGTGAAGACGGTTATGTTCCTACCCTACACCAAGTCTCCTCCAGGCTCACCATCCCCACTTCCTTCAATGGCTTTTTGCATGGCTGTCAGAATGACCCTGTCACACACGCCGCAAATTTCAGGGGCTCCCCATTGCCTTTAAGATGAAATACAACATTTTCTGCCTGGCATTTAAAGCCTTTCCTTCTCAGTCTGGTTCCAGCCTACCTTTCCCGGCTAACCCTTCACACACCCTCCATTGCAGCCAAACTGGCCTATTTACTCTTTTTTTGGGGGTGGGGGGTTAGGCAGTGGGGTTAAGTGACTTGCCCAGGGTCACACAGCTATTAAGTGTTATGTGTCTGAGGCCAGATTTGAACTCAGGTCCTCCTGAATCCAGGGCCAGTGCACCACCTAGCTGCCCCCCCTATATACTCTTCATTGGAAACAACATCCCATCTCCCATTTCCTGGCCTTGCACCAGCTGTCCCTGTGCCTGGAATGCACTCCTACTTCAGACTTTTAGAATATCTTCAGATCTCAATTCCTGCCTCCTCCTCACCCTGAGCCGCCAATGCCTCTGAATTACTTTGAGTATATTTTGTATTTAGTTATGTGCATGTTTCACAGGTAGAATACAAGGTAACCCCTGGTATCTGTTACATGGAATATGCTTAATAAATGTTTGTTGACTGACTTACCAACCTATAGAGTATGTGTATATATTTCTAAGCAGATATATTGGCTGAAATTGTGTGTCTCACCATTTCTTCCCCACTTATGTGTCAGTGAGTTTAAAGGTGTATATATAGTGATGCGCTAAGTCTTCCTCCAACACTATAGCATGACACGCTTTTAATTCTTTATTATTAATGTTTTCTCCCATTACCTTCTTAAGTCTAGACTCCAGACCAGAGGTTCCCAAACTTATTTGGGCCACTGCCCCCTTTTCAGAAAGAATTTACTCAGCACCTGCCCCCCCCCGAAATCTACTTTCTCTAACCCTTTAGTGGTTTTTGGGTTTTTTTGAAATTTGTGTCATTTCAAAAATTATAAATTTAAAAAAAGATACATCTTAAATTTGATAATTTACTGTAAAATTGTGGGGGCTTTTCCTGTATTGAAATTTTGATGATACAATATTATGTTGTATAGCATCATATTGTAAACAAGTCATTATGTGCACATATTCTTGCTGATGCATGTTAGACTTCCTGACAATTTGAGACAGGCTCACCAACCAACACTTGCTTGCTAAGACCTGTGGTGGACTTGATGATTGATTGGTTATAACCTGCATTTTGTGTGTTTATTTGAAAAATAATGTAATCACTACAACTTTCATTCTGTTACACAACAGATGAAACATGTATGAATGATTTTTCACAATTTCTTATCTTCTCTTCTTTCCCTATGCTTCCACTGCCCCTTTATTTTTATTCAACACCCCCCCAATTGCAGCTGAGGCTACTACCCCCCCATCATTCCAGCACCCGCCAGGGGCAGTTTTGGAGGAGCTCTAGACAATCAACAAAACAATAAGCCAAGCCCTCATTTGTGGAGCATGCTTATTTCCAAGGTATAAATGCCCACACTGAAAAATTAACAATCAGCTCTCCATCCAAGGATACCCTTGTATATCAAAGACTAAATTAAATTGGAAAAAATATTGACCTTACCCTGCCTCCTCCTTATTTTGCCTTTAAGGATCTTTATTTGTATAAGGAGGATGTTTTTACGTTTCTATTTCTAGTAATGCAATGTCATTATCCTGTGTGTGTAAACTTTGTGATCTCTTTACAAAGTGTGAACCATTTTGATGGGTCAAGAAGGGAACAGTTGGTGGGCTAGCCAAACAGTTAGCCATTGGCTCCAGGGACTTTAAATAGCTGGAGGAGTTTAAGTAGCAGACTGTCCAGCTGCAAAGCAGTCAAGTCACAGAGGGCTGTAGGCTCAGAACCTCCTTAAGGAGGCAGACCTTTGTATTTGTACCAGAGGACAGCAGGGTGTGGGATCAATGAACCCAGGGGCAATGTTCAACTCCTTTTCCTCTCCTCACCTTTATTATCCATGTTATTGGAGAAACTGAATCACTAATAGACAACTCATCCATCCAGGAGCAGAAAAAGAAAAAGACAAATGTGGATTTAAGTGGATACGGAAAGGTGGTCACTGGAAGGAGGAAGAGCTCTCAAGAAGAACCAGAGAGGACCACAGGCTATGGACTTCTAATAAACAGGAGTTGTGAGTTTATCCTTTAGCCTCTGCAGTTCGACTCCATTCTCCCATGGACCTGTGTTTACTTGTGAAAGACTATGCCTCAAATCTAGAAATGGAAAGGTGATATTTTGTACTAACTGGTCTTACTATACCACCTTAGTAAATGCCTTTCCCTTAAAAAAACTAATTATCATCAGTGGGGGCTTATAAGTGACCAGGCTAGAAACCCAGCTCTTAAGGGTTACCCCTAGAATCCTGAATAGGATTAGTCATCCTTGGCTCTGAAGACACCAAACCACAAGGTTGGAGGAGTAGCCCCAAAGTGAGTGCTATACTTGCAATGCATAAGTGATAGCAGTGTACAGCGTACAGTGCTGGGTTCAAATCTCATCTTCTCCACTAACAGCTTGGGCAAGTTACAGCTTCTTTGTGCCTGAAACAAGTCCTTAAAACTTACCAAGTTATATGCCAGACCAGCTACAATTTGATGAGGGTATATGTGTAGTATATTAGTATAGACAGTGCCCTATCTCACCTGCCACTCTATATTTAATGATATCTCAGATCAAAGTATATTTATTTTGCATATTTGTAACATCAGCATGAGGTTTGTTAAGGCTGAGACTTTAATAAAAAATCTAGCCTTGTCACTCTAGCTCCAAATTCCAAGTTACAGAAAGGCATGGGGGGATCCCACATCCTTTTTTTCCTCCTTGTCCCCAGGGTGTCCATTGTGCAAAGGGAAGTTGTAATCTAATGAAAATGAGCTGACAAAGCTATGTAGGTTTTAGGAATTTCGGAGGCGCTCAGCCTCTTAGCAAGGGACATAAATGAAAAGGTAATTTTTCAGATTCTTCTTTGGTTAGTCCTATGCTCAAAGCACACACAATTTCCTTGTAGGTGACCTCTTGACTTAAGCATGAGTCACCAAAGTAATATATCTTAAGCTTGGCTGAAATAACACAGTTTTTTAAAGGACTAGGTCATTGTCTAATAGCATATTTCAAATACCATAGAACGTGAAATATTAAGAGGAAACAATGAACCTGAATATACATTTTATTCACAAAACAGATTCTTATGAGATATCAGATTTGGGATAAAGGAATATGTAGACCCCAGACACTTGCGAAATAAGAAAAGACCACTGGATTTGGATTTAGAAGACCTGGGTTAGTATCCCATTTCTGCCACCTATTACCTGTGTAACAAGTCATTTAACATCTCTGGTCCTCAACATTGTTTATGGACCACCATAAGCTTTGGACATATTTTCTGTAGATTAGAGTATAGGCTGTCCTATATCTATTATGTGCATTGTTACCTTAAGTGCTCATATGGGACCTCGTACCCTTTTCTTCTCATCTATGAAGACTTCAACATGAACAATATCATAGCTATACTCAGAGGTTTTTTCCAAAGGCAGCTGACTCGTGGTGGGGGAAAAACAAACCAAAGTGATATGATTTGGCAGCAGCCTCTCAAGTTGGATCTGGTCTGTACAAGCCCAGAGTTTGGAGCACTTCATCATAGGTTACATCTGAAGACTAGACGATCTCCAACGCCCCTTCCTCCTCTAAACTTATGATCCTATGAGCTAATACCCTTAGCAGTGGCATTCCTAGTGCCCAACTTCGTGAAAGGAATTGATGTGCAGCATGTCAGCCTTTTGCTTGGTAGGAATCACCATTTTGAAAAAGAGGAAGTGGGAAGAAAGAAAAGTATTCAAAAAATATGTGGCAGGGAAGGTAAAAACCCAGTAACCTAGAAGAGGTGCTTTTCATTCCTTGTGCAGGTGAGTTAAATAGTAACTTAACTATGCATTGCAGAATTCCCTTTTCTTGAAGGGGCAGTTTTCCCCTATTGTTGCACATTTATATACATGAATTTGAATTCAGATGAGAAGGACCTTCTCTTTTGGGACCCCTAAGGTCTCCATTATTTTTTCCTTCCTAGGTATACTTATCTACCATCTGCTAACAGCTTCCTTCTGTCCTCTCTGTTCAGTTTCTCAGAAGCATCTTTTGGTCATAGGATTATAGGATCAGAGATCTAGAGCTCAGAGAAACTTCAGAACTTAACACCTTCATTTTGCCGATGAGGAAACTGAGGCCCAGAGGTGTCCAAGATCACATAGGTAGTGAAAGAGGCCTTTGGCTCCACAGCCAATGATCTTTCCATTGTAGCATGACACTTCTTTAACTTTTATTTTTTTCTTAATAAAAATGCCTTTACTGGTGGTATTTTATGTCTTTCCTTTGGCACTTGGAAAGGCAGAGAACAATTTTAAGAAAAGTGCCCAAGCCAGCCATGTTTTAGTTGCCCTCTGGGCTCCACTCCTGACTCTCTGGACTTTCTCTACCATGTTTCACCAGCCTCCCCACCCTGGGAAATTCCCTTTTCCCCTTTGGCCTCCTCACTTGGACATTCACTAACCCTGTCGTCATACTGGAAGACCACTCCACCTTTTATGCCCTTTCTCTGATTGGTCAGTTCCTCTCAGAACCTCCATTTTAAGGAGAGTGCCCCAACCAGCCAGTCTTCATTCCTCTTTAGGCTCCACCCTTGATTCTCTCCATATCTTCCCCCTCCCAACTCCTTTTAAGCTTCCTTCTACATGTTGTCTTCTCCCATTAGAATGTAAGCTATTTCAGGGGCAGCTATATAGTCCATATAGCAAACTAGCACAGATAAAACCATCTGACACTTATGGATAGGTCAATTGTATATAACTAACAAAGATCAAGAAAGCACAAATGAACATTAATTCACTGTTACCTACGTGACTTTGGGCAAATCTCCTAAACTGGATGGGCCTCGGTTTATTTAAATCTCACTTTGCTGACAGCATTCATCACACCAGACTAGGCTTCGTTGGCCCCCTATATATTTTTTTCCATTTATGTAAAGGAGGAATAGATTTATAATAACAATAGTAAGGGCTAGCATACAACATTTAAGGATACAAACCATTTAAAAGGAAACAGCTGGCTGACCTGCTTACAAGGTGGAACAGATAGAATTGACCCCTTCCACTTAGCTCTGCCTCCCTGATGGGGTAGGAGATGAATTGGATAGTTACCAGACACTTAACAGAGGATACTTCCCAGCAAGAGAT